ATAAAACACAAACCCCCAACCCACATCCCCTGTAGCAACCACAAAAAAAGTTGGTAAAATAGGAAAAATAGCATTGCTGTATAACGTACTGCTGAGATTTGTAGTCCTCTATAGAGGGTCCCATTCTGCATTGCCGCAATGCAGAATGGGACCTGCTATATAGCACTACAAATACCAGCTGTACTTTATACAGCAGGTCCATCAGTTTGGCCACCAAAATAATTATTTAATAACTTACCTTCAACTCTTCTGGCGTTTTTCTGGTGGGGGAGGCTGCAGAAAAACGTGTGTGTGTGTCAGACAGCATAGTGCGGCTTACACATCCTTTGCAGAAGACGTGTATCCAAACCTCTGTCATTGTCCTTAGTGGTGAGACAAGTTGTTTTACATGCTAGTTTGTGAGTGTGCCATGATGCCTTTCTACTGTTCTACTGTTCAAAGCCCATTTCGTGTGCACCTTACTGTATAACTGGTAACAAATTGTTGAGTGCGGTTGTCGTTTGTTTTACATTGGATACTAGGCCCCCCTTTAGGCTCAGGCCCCGGGGCGGCCGCACCGGCAGTAGGTCCGCCCCTGCTTGTATAACCCTTTGGCTGGATTCACACTGTTGTGTTAACATAGGTTATCATCTGCTGTGTAGTATGGGCTGTCTAATGCACCAAAAAAAAAGTGCATGCGCTATTTTTTGTAATAGTGCACCACAACACACAGTTGTGCATTGGGTTCATTGTAGGGCACTGCAACACAGGTGTGTTGGGGTGCCATTAGAAATGAATACACCAACTTGCATAACACATGTTGCCATACATTACTGCAATACCATAGTGTGAATCCAGTCTACACCATCAGGAAGTGTTCTAAGTTTACTTATTCCAATTAACAAAGTCAATAATGAATCCTATATTTGTATGTTTGCTTGGAGACACAAGCAACCTACTTCTAAGTCGTAGAGAGTGGGAGACATACTATGGGCTACAAGTGTAACCTTGTAGACATTTAAACACAAGTAGAACTTTACAAAGCTGTAAAAAAAAGTGTTGGTATGAATGAACTTATGACTGCATGTGTTCTTTTACTAATTACCTTGCAGAGTTCATGCATTTGAGCCCCTGGGTTCTTTTGGGAGTGGTTACAGAAGAGAACTTGTAAAATGGTATGAATGAGACTAAACATTTAGGGCCTGTGACAGGCTTTGGGCTTCTGTCGATGCCATCAGTTTGACATCAGTCTGAGACACTTGAGATCATTTTGAATTCATTGATTGGTGCATTTGGCCTGCAGTTGATCTCCTGATGTGCATTTGACCTGCTTTAAGCAGGTTTTGCATTCCCACAGACTTGTATGGGGCTGCAAATCCTATCTGAAGTGGAAAAAAATCCCCTCGACACGAGCAGATAGAAACTGTTACATTCCTACTGTAATGCAAGGTTAAATCAGATTGTTTACCATAGATTGCTCAGGATCCTTCTGACCTCCAGTAGTCCTAATTGGATTTAATATGAGTGTATCTATATGGGTGTGGTGTTAACATTACAATACAATGTTCTTCAGAGACACAAGCACTCGTGAAGGGGTCAATGATTTTTGTAAACTGCACCAGAGTATTTCACTGCTATAAAGTGATATAGATAAATTGTATTAAAGTGTGTTTTCCAAATATGTGAAAAGTAACAATGGTGTGCTTATTAAAAAGACATTAAAGCTGAACTCTGGAATAAGCAAATATTGTCTAAATACAAGAGGCATGTTCACTCCTACTTGAATCATGGTGTGTATTTTGTGTATTTCTTCCAGACCTTTGCAGTAACTTTGCTTTTCTGTAGGAGCTTCCTGTAATAACTGCTGCTTTGTCTTTTTGTGCAGGGTGACTCGTCTTGTATCTATCCCCCTCCTGTAGATTTCTGCAGGCAGCCTGTCGTGGATGGACCCCCAAGGTCCCTCTCCACAGGTTTGGTGCAGGACGGTGTTCATGTCATTGCTACTTTTACAATGTAATATGTGGGTTTGCGAAGGCATTTGGTGCACACAAAGTGGGTCTTTATCAGAGACGGCGCTTCCAAAAAGGCAGCACAAGCAACCGGTTGAGGGTGCTGGTGGGGGAGGGCAGAAAAACAATGCCTTCCATACACAGGAGCAGAGGTATGGATGGGGCTCTGAGCTTCAGATTCATATAGTCTGAGCCCCACCCCCTGTTCACTCTGCTGTGTACTCTCCCTCCAGAGCCTGCTGTGAGCCGCACTGTCCCTGAAGCTGTCACCATTCGAGATATTAACATATGAATTGGCAGTGGTATTTGCATATCAATACGCTGCAACCTATTCATATGTAAATATCGCTACTTAATATGGAAATCACCGCACCGCCCAGAGCTCACAGTGTTCTTGGCCTGCATGGCACTCCTTGTAATGAAGGAAGTACCACCCACCATTGCTGCTAAGGAAGAAAAAAAAAACAGCCTGACGACTGCAAGAAAAAAAGGTATGTTTAGGTATGTGTATGTAGCTATATTTGAATTTTTAGAAAAAATAGTGGTGGAGGGGTATTTACCTTCGTTAAATTGGAGGTCAGTGTGAAGACTCTTGTTACATTGGCAGTCAGTGTGAAGACTCTTGTTACATTGGCAGTCAGTGTGAAGACTTCTGTTACATTGGCAGTCAGTGTGAAGACTTCCGTTACATTGGCAGTCAGTGTGAAGACTTCCGTTACATTGGCGGTTAGTGTGAAGACTTCCATTACATTGGTGGTTAGTGTGAATACCTCTGTTTGTGAAGACTTCCGTTACATTGGCAGTCAGTGTGAAGACTTCCGTTACATTGGCAGTCAGTGTGAAGACTTCCGTTACATTGGCAGTCAGTGTGAAGACTTCCGTTACATTGGCAGTCAGTGTGAAGACTTCCGTTACATTGGCAGTCAGTGTGAAGACTTCCGTTACATTGGCAGTCAGTGTGAAGACTTCCGTTACATTGGCAGTCAGTGTGAAGACTTCCGTTACATTGGCGGTTAGTGTGAAGACTTCCATTACATTGGTGGTTAGTGTGAATACCTCTGTTACATTGGTGGTCAGTGTATATACCTCCGTTACATTGGCAGTCAGTGAGAATACCTCCGTTACTTTCACAGTTGGTTGTAAATACCTCCGTTACATTGTTGGTCAGTGTGAAGACTTTCGTTACATTGCTGGTTAGTGTGTATACTGCTGTTACATTGGCGGTCAGTGTATATACCTTCATTACATTGGCAGTCCGTTACATTCACGGTCAGTGTAAATACCTCCGTTACATTGCTGGTCAGTGTGAATACCTCCGTTACATTGGCAGTCCGTGTGAAGACTTCCATTACATTGCTGGTTAATGTGAATACTTCTGTTACATTGGCGGTCAGTGTATATACCTCCATTACATTGGCGGTCAGTGAGAATACCTCCATTACATTCACGCTCAGTGTAAATACCTCCTTTACATTGCTGGTCAGTGTGGATACCTCAGTTACATTGGTGGTCAGTGTAAATACCTCCTTTACATTGGCGGTCAGTGTAAGGCCTCCTAACATTTTTGTACTCAGAGTTTTTGCCACCATCAGCCCATCAGCAGCCACAATCGATGTCACAGGACTCATCAGGACACATGATTTTTTTATATGTATTGTAATAATATAAAATGTGTTTTGCTTCAGGATGCCGCTGTTTATCTATGTTAGGGAGTCCTGACCAGTTAAACATCAGTGTAAGGTCACTTATCTGCTGTTAGTTATAATTTCTTAAGTGAAGATGTATGGGGGGGTTGTCCTTGTATTGGGGGTGCTCCATGTTAATGGGAGTGGGGTGTCAATGCCTGTGGCTTTACATATGGGGCTTCAGTAGATGATGGTATTCTTTTTCCAAAATGCTGGATATGTTCAGTGTGAGCTGTAACATGGATATCTTAGTTATGCTTTCTGGAGTAGTGGACTTTGGGGTGTCTTTGTATTGGGGTGCTCCACAGTAATCTATTTGGGGTGTCATTTCTTGTGGCTTCACATATAAGGCACTAGTAGCTATTGTTTTTCCTTTTTTCTAAATGCTTCTGAGATCATTGGTTTGACCTGTAAAATGGATATCAGAGATCTTCTATTAGGTTTGCAGTGCTGCTTTACGGGATGTCTATGCAGGGCTAGGGCTACCATAAGACTGCCTGAGGGTGCCACGGGAGCAGAAAAATGCATCTTCGCCTGTGTGGGCAAAAATCCATGCACCGGCCTTACATTTTTTTACTTTGTGGCTATTATGGAATATATTTAAGTTAAAGTTTCTCTTCCTGAAGTTTAGCTTTATAACCATAAGACCAAAAATGTAAGCAAAGATCAGAAAATGTAAAAGTTTTAAACTTTATTGCCAGCACATATAACAAGCAAAGATAAGTATAAAAAGAAGCAACTCCAAGGCACCACAATGTGAAATATTGCATAATAAGGGTTACTTATTCTCAATAAGCAGGTCTGTATTAAAATGTATTAATGAAGCTTTTGCCATTTGGAATGCAATACTTTTTTATAATGTTAACATTTCAGAGACAACAGAAATAGAAATATTTAGTACCAATTCTTTTACAAGACTAGCGTTCAAAGAAAAAAAAGGCAAAGCAGATGTTACCTACAATACAAATATTGTTTTACCCCCTACATATTTGCTAAATACATGAAAATATTTACCATTTTATTAATGGAGAATTTAGAAAAAAATAGAGCTCTCCATGATGAAAACAAAATTCCCATTGTCAGTGCACATTTTTCAATTTTTTTAAATGGGAACCTATTAAAAACATGTAAGTTATCCTTAAGGTTTTATTTTGAAGACAAATCTTGAGCCCAATGGCCACCTAGTTCACAAGAGAACTATTGCTAGACTGGAAGGAATAGCTGTAAGAGGAAGATGAAGCTGAAGCTGTAGCATCAAAACTTCCTCTTCGAGATCCACTGCGTGAACCAGAGCGAGATCCTGACCGTGATCCTGGGGCTGAGGAAACATTGTAAGGACTGCTTATTCCTTTAGAAGACACTGAAGCAGCTTCAAGCATTCGCAATCCTGTTATGTCTTCAACCATGGATCGATCTACGGCTTCTTTGTAAGAGATTTTCAGTTTAGTTTTTGGGCATGTCAGAATTTTGGGGTAGCTGTTTATGTCTCGCAGTTTCTGAGCAGCTCGACCATCAACCATGCCTTTACGAATAGCCTCCTCTGTACTTACTCTTGCTTGTGTTTCTGGATCAACAAGGCCTCCTGTTATGTACTGAAACTCAAGAAAACGCTGTCCAGCTTCATAAGGCAACCAGTTTACCTTCATGGCTTCTGCAGCAGATAATTTTTTTTGTCCTCTTACACCATCAAACCCTGTGTAGGCCTTCTGAGCTTGCTTTAGCCTGGCTGACATATCGTGATCTAATATGCCTTGGGAAACTGCTTCTTGCAAGGGAACTCTCTGCCCAGAGTTTGGGTTGATAATTCCTCCAGTGCAAACTTGTGCTTCCAGTAAGCGTTGTCCAGTAATTGTATCTACAATTCCACGTTTGATGCCCTCCGATATTGATATTTTTTCATAGCTTTCAGTATCAAATATTGCTGCAATAGGTGTGGTTTCTTCTAAAGTGTCTGAAAATGAACCACTTCTGGTCAATGAACTGGTTCGAAATTTGGGCGATGCCAGGGATGAAAGGGATGAAACAGAATCTTGTCTAGAGGTAATTAACACATCATCACTTAGGTTTCTATTGGAGATCATATCTGCAAATTGAGTAAGGCTTAGTGTCCCAGCACGATATTGTTCAAAATTGCTCTTGTTGATTGTGCCTAGCTCAATAGCCTCTTGGACGTCATACTGGTTTCCTGTTTTTCGGTCAACCAGGACAACTCTGATTGCACCATCTGAGCCTGTAGTAGTGATTTCTTCCCATTCACACTCTTGTTCTGAAAGATCAATAAAGGTATCATAATCAATAAGCCCTTTGTTATAGGCTTCTTGTACTGTCATTTCTCGGTTTGTATCTGGGTCAACTATGACTACTCTGCGTTTCCTGGAAGTCTTCTTTTGTGATGCTTGCACCAACTTTTTCTTTTCTTTTAAAGGCAGTAGACAAAGGTTGGTTTGTGAATCAACAATACACCTTTCTTTTAGCTGTAGGTATGTCAGATTTTCCTCTGTGTTGGGGTCAAAAAAGCCTTTGGTATCATCATCTGGATCAGAAAGAATTGCATTCATTTCTTCATTAAAGAACCCACGTTTGTAAGCAACATCCACTGGTAGACGATGACTTGCTTTAGGATCAATGATTCCACCTGTGGCAATTTGGGCTTCCAGCAAGCGAATTCCATGTCCTTTCTCAATTAGCTCTTTGTTCATAGCCTGAAATAGCGATATTATATTCCCAGTTTCTGGGTCTTTGTAACCAGTAACGGCTCTTTCTGCGGACAGTAGCTTTTCCTTGAATTCAATTCCAACAAGGCCTTTTCTGTAAGCTTCTTCCACTGGCATCCTTAGATTATTTACTGGATCCACTATGAATCCAGTAGCTGCTTGAGCTTCTAGTAGTTCAAGTGTGGTACCAGGCCTCAACAATCCCTTTTTCATTGCATCATATATGCCTAATTTTTCCTTTGTAGCTTCATTATAGATTCCAGCAATGCAACTTGATCCCTGCAGGAAATCTTTAATTCTTTCACTGACTTCTTCGACAGATATCTGACCAGATTCTAGTTCATCTACAGTGGTGGAGCGAATAATGCCAGACTCTACTAACTCATTCAGCGGCACTTGATGTCTAATACCTTGGAATGAGAGACTTTTCTTCATTACAGGCAACAAAAGAAATCCTGTATGAGGCTCTACTCTACATTTCTGTCTAAGTTGCGCATAACTGACATTTTTCTTGGTGACTGGTTCAATGAATTTCTTTGACTCATCACTGGTATCATTTAATGATCGATTTAAATCCCTGTCAATCAAGCCTCGTGATAATGCAACCTCAACAGGTACAAAGACACTGTTCACTGGGTCAACAATCCCACCTGCTGCCAACTGGGCTGCTAAGAGCCGCAGTCCAACTTCTTTGCTGATCAAATTATTCTTAATTGCTTCAGCAACACATACCGTCTTTCCAGAGAAAGGATCTCTAAAGCCAGTGACTGCTTTTTCTGCAGTATAAATGGCCTCTCTATCTGGGAAATCTATGAGATCCCTAGCAACAGCATTATCTACAGTTAACTTTTCATTTTTCTGCAGATCTATTATTCCTCCTGTTGCAGCTTGGGCTTCTAAGAGCATTACTGCGCTTTCAGGTGAAATTAGCTTTTTCCGTTTTGCTTCTACAAATGAATATTTCTCTTTCGGTGTGACTGAGACACCTGCAATTGTACCAGCACCTTTCAGGAAAGGCTCAATCTCAGTAGCTACTTCTTCCAGTGATTTTTGTCCCTTGATTAATTTTTCAAATGTGGCCTTGGTTATTATTTGGCATTCAAGAAGCTGATGAGCTGTAACCTTTTTCCTTAGCCCATCAAAAACAAATTTAGAAGGATCGATCGACATGTTTTCATCGGTCTGTGTCTGCCTGCTAGAACCAGATGGACGCTTCTTAAGATTTTCCAGTTCCCTTTGCAATGCTAGTCTCTGTGCTTCAAAATCAGCGTTGCTAGTTCGATGAGTCTCCTCTAGCTTACGCTTGTATCTCTCTTCAATTGACCTTATCTCTGCCTGCAATCTTTCAATTTCAATTTTTAATGATGACTTGTCTCTTTCACTCCTCTCCCACTCACTTTCAAACTTCTTCACATCCTCCTCCTTACGGGTATACTGACTCTTCCACTGATTAAAGTCATTTCGAATCTGCTGCTTCTCATCTTCCAGACGTTGCTTGTTCCGCGCTTCGGTATCTAGCGCTGCCTTTGCACGACTAAGTTCCTCTTCCAGACGCTGAAGCCTCACTTTGTCTTGGTCCAGAAGTTTTAATTTCATTAGAAGGCTTTCTTTTTCTTGAAAGATTTCTGAGTATTTGCTACTGGATTCCTGTATCTTACCAGTTGCCTAGATCAAAGACAAAGAAAAAAAAATTTAAAAATGTTTATGGATTTAACCTGCAACTTTAATTGCAAACATTTTAATGGTTCAACTAGTATCATTTCTACCACTGTTTCCAGTCACAAACATGCATTCCCTTGATAATACTAATTACACTTTTTTTGCAGAATTTAAAACCTCTCTCTAGGGCTATATTCTATAGTGCTATTCTTTGGCTTATATTCTGTCCTTTTGCTCGAATGTTAAGATTATTTTCAGCGTTTAAGTAAAATATTTAAAGCTTTAAAACTCTTAGTCTAGTAGTAGGGTTAGAGGAATAGGAAAGTAACCAAACATAACAAAGAAAGACTAGATTACAAACTCTGGAGGACAACATTTAATGAAAACAGACATTGGACTTTATCAACAATTGACATAAACAATGCATTTGATAAAAACAAAAGTATAGAATTAACCGATCACAACACATACAAGGACAGGTGATAAAAAGGATTACAATGTTAGAATATTTTATATTAAGAAAGCTAAATATTGTTTTGATCCTAAATCTAAACTATCGTGCAGAATAGCGGTAGTATAAATAATGTTGCAAAGGCATTTTCCCTAAAATGACATATCTGCTTTATATTTATAATCTTGTTGTATGATATTGAAATATACATATATACTGTAAATGTTATAGATGCCTTAACTGGTATAAGATTAAAAACAATGGCTACTGCATTGCCGACTATGTGATCCTGTTACTCAAAGTGCATTAAGCATGCATAAATGTAATGCCCATATTAAAATAATGTGTGCTGTGCTAAAACCAGGAAAAGTAGAATGTAAAATTTTAGGATCTAAGTCCATGTGAATTACTTCCTAAAAGGTACCCACTGAATTATATATTCATCATAACATGTTACTAATCTGAGCCAGATTTAAACCTCATATTTCCACGGGTGATGTTTTACCTTTCCAACTGCTAATAAAACTATTATTATTGTTAGTTATTGAAAGAAAAAAACAGATTTGACCCGATATTGGAGCAGAGGTATTTAAGATAATTGATACCATATATATCAGGATGGCAAACAGGTTTGTGCCAATAATGTACTACACTGAGATGAACTCAGGTGCCTTTGTACTCAAGTGCCTAAAAACACACTTGTAATACCTCAGTTATAAATCTGGCTCAGTTAGTAACAATTGATTATATATATATATCAGGGAAAGTATTCATTAATCTGCTAGTGAGAAGACAAATTAAGGAAATTTATCTGAATACCTCTAGTGCTTGCTTTTGGAATTTTTCAATTTCCTGTCTCAAATTTTGCCTCTCTTTCTGCAACTCATTAATAAGGCCCTGAAGCTCCAGGGATCGCTTGTTGCTGATTTGTAGCTGATTCTTTAATTCAGTAATAGTTGCATTTTTTTCACCATCCACTTCATCTTTACACTTTTTGACTTCTTCATTTTCCAGTCTAACATAGCGCAGCTCTTCTTCCAGCCTCAAGTGCTCTTTAGTCAGATTTTCTGTGATTGACTGCAGTCTTTCGATTTCTATTTTGCTTTCATTAAAACTTCTGTTTCTCTCCTCAATGGTTTTTTGCAAATGCTCATTTCTGATATGAGCTTGGCGCAAGTTTTCTTGTTCTACATGTAGCTGACGGCGTAGACTTTCCACCTCAGCTACGAGTTTACTCAGCTCATCAATATTTCTCTGTTGGTCTCTCAGTTGACCATCTAAAGATTCCCTTTGCTGGCGCAAATCTTCTTCTGTTTGCTTTTTAATAATAGTAACTTGCTCTATTTGCTGGGTCATAGTTGTGATCTTTTTCAGCTGTTCACTGTTAGTTCTGCGAAGAGCCTCCAGCTCTTCTTCTAGCTTTTTATTTTTTGTATGTTCATCTGAAGCAATTCTTTTTTGCCGATTTATTTCCTCTTCTAGTTTATTCTTTTGCGTCTGTAGGTCTTTCAGATTGACTTGAAGTCTGCTGACCTCATTTTCTTTTCCTTGTTTTTCTTTTGAAAGTTTTTCAAAATCTGATTTAAGTCTGATTAACTCTTGTTCCTGAATCTTAAGTTTGCTTATGGTTTCTGTGGCAGAGCTGTTGGCTTTCTGCAAATCAAACTGGGTTCTCTGTACTTTAACATGCTCCTCCTCAAGTTTTTTCCTTTGGTCCGTTTCAACCTCAATGAGCCTTTTCAGGCGTTCAATTTCCTTGTTGCGCTCCTGAATAGTTTTGGCAGCATCGTCAAGAGATTTTTTGTGTTTTTGATCTTCTTCAGTCTTAAAAAGGTTTAGCTGTCTCAATTCAATCTCAAGCTGTTGTTTCCTCTGAGTGAGTTCTGATACAAAGGACTTGTGCTGGTGAGCATCATCTTCTGTTTTTTTTAAATTGTTTGTCATTTGTGTCAGAGAGGTCTTTAGTCTGTTGACTTCTGTCAACAAGTCCCGTTTCTCTCCTGTTAAATTATCAATTTGATCATTCAAGCTGCTGATGTTATCTTCTTTTTGAACACTTATCTCGTGGATGGTGGTTTTTGTAATATTAATTTCTGTCTCGTACTTGTTCCTTAAATTTATAATCTGTTCATCAAAATTGTTTCTTACCTTTATAAGCTCGTTTTCGTATTGTCTCTGGCGTGCAGCTTCCTCTTGAAGTTGGTACTTTAGCTTGTCAATATCGTTGTTTCTGTCCTGAATTGTCCTACTGGCCTCTTCTAACGACTTCTTGTACCCCGATGTCTCCTCTGAATGAACACGAATTAGCTTCTGTAACTCATTTTCCAATTGCTGCTTTCTCTGAGAAAGCTCAGACCCTGAAGCCTTTTGCTGAAAAACATCTTCTTCTGCCCTTCTGCGTTGTTCATTTGTTTGGACAATGGTCTCATTAAGTCTGGTAATTTCTTGTGTAAAGTCACGATTTTCTCTGGCTAGCTTCTCGAGCTGAGATCTGAGGTCATAAGTGTCTTCTTCTTTCTGAACAGTAATTTGCTGAATGGTAGTCTTCGTAATGTTTATCTCAGATTCATACTTGTTCCTCAAACTACTCATTTCGTCACTATATTGCTTCCTTACCTTTGACAGCTCATTCTCATATTCCCTCTTCCTCTGGCCTTCATCTTGAAGTAGAAGTCTTAGTTTTTCTATCTCGTATTCCTTCTCCTTGATTAACTTGTCAGTTTCAATTTTTTGACGGTTGACACCTTGTAGATCAGTTTGCGTTCTTTGCTGTATTTGATCAAATTCATTCTTTTGGAGATCACATCTGTCCTCCAGGGCTTTTCTCCTCCGTTTCTCATCATCAATCTCATATGTGAGCCTTGTTATCTTTTCATTTAGTTCGGTTATCTGACTATAACATTTCTCAAGGTTCTGTTTAGCAGAAGACCCATCCATTTCAGCTTTCCTCTTCATGTCCTCCAACAGGAGAAGTCTTGATTTATATTCTGAGCATTCTATTTGGTACTTTTGTAGGTTCTGATCAAGGAATTTGTTTTTCTGTGAATTGTCGCTGTTTGAATCCCTGGCAAGTCGCAGTTCTTCCTCGAGTAGCTCAATTCTGGTGTTTTTCATCTAGAAAAAAAATGTAAATATATAAGTAGGAACATGGTTTCAAAGGAATCCACAAAATATATTGTTATATCATTTAGAATGAGTACTTGTAAGTAGCTTTCTGTTATGAATACAAGAAAACTAATGATCATTTTCATGTTTTAAAAAGGCGTGTGTTTAGGAGGCCAACAAACCTGGGTTCCAAAATAAAAGTAAAAAAGTAAAAAAATGTGTGGTATCTATTGGCAGTAAACAATAAACCACTGAACAATTGGGACAATTTGGTATGCATTTGTTTGCTTTAAAGCAGATAATCCGTCCAAATTAGTAATTATACTGAATGTACTGGTTTACTTCACTAACAGTACAGAAATAGCTAGGAAGGCATGTGTATGTAGCATTGTAATGTATTCATGTAAATATTATATGGAGTTGCACTTGGACAAAGTTGATATAAAAATTAGGGTAGTAACAATATTGTTTTATGGTAATGTGCGCATTACAGCAACACAAGTTATGTTCATTGGTGTGCTGTGGTGCTACTCATTTTTGAATGGCATTCTAAATAGCACTCAACTCACCTGCGCTGCGGCTCACCACAATACACTATGATGCAATGTGGTACACTGTACAGCAAAAAAATGGTGCAAGCACATTTTGTAGTGCCTTCTGGTGCATTGCTAGGCCATTCAAATGAATAGACTTCCTTAACACAATGCCACAGACCAAAGTAGTGTGAATGGACCCTTAAAAGGAGCAGTGCACACTTGCTGAACCTATTTGTCCAGTGCTAATAGTGCAATACAGGTTTAAGCTATAGTTGAGGTTTGCCTTGTTGAAATAGAGAGAGATCCCGAACATTAAGCATGAAAATATTTTTACCAAGATGCGCAGTAATGATATTCAGTACTACGGACACTGTCTGAAAACATAATACAAGCATATACATTCCAAAAAAACAGAATTACTTTAAAACAGTCATCAAACAGCATTCTTTAAGAACTATGTTTGCGTCAGCGAAAAGGAATTCTGTTCATTAATCTATGTTGCTATTAGTCTCTGGAGTTTATAGATCATGATTTTATGTAGGTTATTTACCTTCAGGTCTTCCATGCTCTTTGACATTTCATGTAGAAGTCTGTAGTGATCATTTCCTCTAGTAAGGAGCTCTATGTAGCGAGCCTGTACTTCAGCAGACTAAAAGAAAAAAAAAAAGGTAATTAGATATTCTTTATGTTGTGTTTCACTAATAATCTAATTAGCACTTTTTAAGGCAGTCTCTCTACAAAATTAAATAACTACTGCTAAAAAACACAATTACTAAAATTTATAGCATTGTTTATGCAGGTGCTTGTCAATGGTTAAGGGAAATTCTATTAAAAAAATGTCTACACAAACACCTTTAGTGCAAGTTGGTGCAATCCTTCCCCCATATCCCACAATGCAATGCAAGTGTCTTAGCAATGTATTTAATAACAGTCACATTGCATTGTGGGATATGGAAAAAATTCCTGAAGTACATATTGGTGCAAATAAGAATATGTATACTGCACTTGTTCTAGTTTTAGGGGCTATACTGCACTTGTCCTAATTTTAGGGGCTATAGGTGAATGCAAAAGTAGGAATTCTCATAAAGCAGAAGTATGTATAGGAAACCTTGTGTTCTCTTCTTTAACCTTCTGTGGCTGGTTTCAACTGTAATATAACAAGTTGAAAGTTGATCAAAACTGCCGAATCGTTTAAGTGAAAAGCAGTATATTGCCTTTACACGAGTTGCTATTTTAATCTCTTGTTATGACTAGTTGAAATTGTATATCTCTTTTACTTGCAAGGTAAGAAACTTGGTTGATGGTACTATGAGTCAGTATTATAGGTATGCATTTTTAATAGTATCCATGGTACATGGATAGTTCAAATGCGGTATTAGGGGCACCCTATTGGCCAACATCTGGAAGATATTTCTATAACATAGGATCTGGGAGACAAAGGGATCTCTTCCAGGGGCAAGTTACCAGAAGAGATCTCCAAATGTTGGGTTATTTTGTAATCATTATTATAACCTAACCATTTGTGTGCACTTTTAACCAAAATGTTTACTAAGCAATAAATACTGTGAAACGTAACTGGAAATTCTAAATTGTAGTTGTTGATAAAAAATGTTAGGTTAATACAGGGAGTGTCAAATTAATATGGATTTGGGAGCCAGTCTGTCCACTTCAGGAGTCTGCAAGATATTTTTTGGGGTGGGCAGCTTCATTAATAATAACTAGAGAAAACCTTAAGGCTCTATTCACACATGAGCAGTTTTCCATGCGTATTTGGCCATAAGAAAACACGCGGAACTGCGCAAAACATAAAAACAATGCATTGCAATGTGCACTGTTTAGATTATTGTGTCAGCCGCGCAGTACGAAACTGCATCCCGCAAAATAGTCCAAGTGTAAATTTTTTGGGGGACGAATTACTCACATGTGCTAATGTTTGTGGTTTTGTGCCGCGTGGTTTTCCGTGCAAAAAACTGCATGGAAAACGCTATCGCTATGTGTGAATGGAGCCTAGGCATCGGCTGTAATTGTGAGAAGCAATTGGCTATCAGGTTTCAGTGATTTGTCCAGACCTAGGTTAACTCCAGTGGAGATTTCTTTAATTCTGTACATGGTCTCATGTTTTACATATTCACCTGTATGCTGTATCTGCCATTTTATTTTCTGTGGTTAACTAACCTGCGTCAGTAAGAGGGTGATTGACAGTTTTACACTAGCAGTCTAAGAGATCAACTAGTTCTCATTGGAACTTCTTTTCAGATCCAATCAAGTGTAAACTTATCTGAAACTGTTAATTTGATTGGTGGCTGCCGGGAAATATCGCCAGTTCTCAGTAACAAAAAAAGAAATTGTGCTTGTAGGCTAGATTCCCTTAAGTGAACAAAAACATTACTGCAGAGGAACGGCAAAGTTGGCTCTACCTCTAGATAGGCAAAGCCCGCTGTCAATCAGCCAGCAGGGTGGATCTTGACAGTATTGTCAGGATCTGTCCCAGCTGCGGTGCTCTCAGCATAAAGCGGGTAATAGCCCACTATATACTGAGTTTTGGGTCCCGTTAGTATATGTCCTCCCATGACTTTAAAGAGAACTATGGGAAAAAAAGGTTTACCCCATAGTTCTTTTTTAAGGACTAATGGAATGAACCACAACACACAGCGGAGAACCTGGCATCTGGCAGGCCGAGAAGAGTGTTGGATGCAGAAGATTCTTTGGCAGCAGTGGAGAGCAAAGATCTATGGGACAGGCAGCAGGACAGGTATATATTGTGTTCTTTTATAATTACTGCTTTAATTTTTTTTTTCTCATTTTTATTTCTGCCCAAGCTTTAAAACTAAATTTTTCATATTCTATGGTCATTTAAAGATACTGCTTTACCAGGCATAGAAAGCAATGTTTGAAATAGACAATATCAGCTGATGCACTTACTTCTTGCATAATGATTGTAGATGGAGATTGAACCATGGTCCTCTTTATCGGGATGTTAAGTAGTGTTTCTAGTCCAGAGCTGTAGGAGGCCAGTTGTAGCTCATAATCCTGAGATGAAAACAAAATTAAGCAAACACATTCAAAAGGGTATTTACTTTCATATTGTAATACATTCTGCCTCCCGAAGAATAGGTGGGAAAGCAAAGTGAAAGTCTAATTCAAGTAACATTCTCTTATATAAGCCCAACTCAGTACAGTCAATATGCTAGTTAGATTTAATATACAAGCTCAAATTAAATATATTCACGTGGGCAGTAGTGAACCAAAAAAAAAACAGATTCTTTGGGACAGAGTAATCACTGTACTATCTAACAAAGTAAAAAAAAGGACCTTAGTTTGATGCCCATATGTCTAACAACTGTGCAGTATGATTATATTGTTGAACATCGGTTCCTGTTTTCTGGGGTAAACATATAACAAATGTGCTACAAAATACATGTGCTTTGGACCGTATGTTACCTTGATGCCCGATGCACACTGATCTGCAGTCTTTACAACTTCTTCTAGATTATCTCTCTTGCCTTGTATTTCGATATTCAAATTCTGAAACATGAAAACAGTAATGTATTTGAGTAGATGTTTTCATTGAACAATCATATCACATTGAGCTCTTACTTTATATTAGAAAAAGGAAGTAAATGGAATATGGTACATTCAAGGAGTTGTGGATCACCCTGTGCTATGGTTGTATTGCTGCAGTACAAACCTTTTGCTCATTTATGTATCTTGCAACAGAGCTGCCATCTGTGAGCTTGCTAGACTCAAGGACATCTTGCTTATGCTTGGTATCGCCAATCCACCTGCTTAAGGACTGGTGCATATCTTTATAATTTCTTAGCTGTTTTCCTTGTTTTTCTAGTTCCCATGACCTGAAAGAAAACAAATCTATTTTAACCACATAGCAACAATATAAGCAAAAGGTTTTATTTTTACGTTGTTGGCATCAATTGTAGCTTGATTTCATTTTGTTTTCATGACAGACTATATTTTTCAATTTAGAGAAAGATCTACAGTAAAACAGCAGGAAAAACCAAAGACTATGATGGAGACATTAAGTACAGCCATTTCTTTGCTTGCATAGAAAAATGGTATTGTGTGTACTTTCCATGTGTGCTCAATAATTGGGTCTAGTAAAGAATATGTGTAGATACAGTTTTGTTGAAATGATTTTCCACAGAGGGCTCATTAACACAGAGGGCTCATTTAGCCTTTTGACTGCAGTTCACAATTCACTGTGTGGATTGATAAAAATAGGACATGTAAAACTTTTGTGCACAGGGTTCCGATGCTGCACTGCAGTGCATGGCAAAAGCATTGCAAATTATGTACATGCTGATGCATGTGCTGTGGCATGAATGACCACCTAATGCAACAAACATGAGGTTTAAAAAGGCAACAGCCCAAATAAATCAAATTTTACTATTCATCGGTCAGAACAATCTTTAGTTACTGCCAAGTAACTGTACTTTGCATATCACCCTTTGCTTGTTAAATAAATCACTATTATTGAGTACTTCCAAACGTAAATCTAAACCACAGTAAATTACCTGTCATCAATTTCTTTCTCTATTCTCTGCCAGCGCTCTGTCAGTTGATTGGCCTTGTTGGAGAATTTAGAGATGTCCACTTCACAATGAGGATAGGTCTGGCAAGCACGGTTATTGATTTGTAGAGCCGTATTCAAATCTGAATCCAACCCCTTTAGTTGTGACTTTTTCTGGTCAAGCTCAGCCTTCATTTTCTAAACATTAAATATGCATGTCAATGTCATATGTCAATTAAAAGTTCTCATAATTGAGATGAAAAAATAAATCATTAGAACAAGCAAAACAGTACACTAGAACAGTAGTTGCAGTTTATTTTATGCCAGTAAACATATGTGAAGCTGATTTTATGTTGTCTTTTTGCATTATGTGCTTGAGCAAAAACTGGTATTACCATTAACAGATGCAGTTTTAATACAGCTTTACACCATACCTCAAAATGAAGTTTTTGGTGATTCATCACCAAGTAAACACATACTTGGTCATTAATTTCAGGTTATACTTCTGAAATATCAAGCATCTACCATGACCATCATAACGGTAATCTAGATGACCAATTTGAGTTACGGTACTTTTACCATTTAAAAAAAAAATTCTAATCTGTTCTTACTTTCAAGGTATTTCTGTATGCTTCAAGTTTTGCTGGGTCGAGGGAAATCGTTTCTTCCTCAGTCAATCTGGCTTCATAAAGTTTGATGATATCTTCCAACTGAAGAATGCTCTGAAGCAAATTTGTCAGGGCCTGGAGTCTTGAAAGGCAAATAACATATCAAGTCATTGGAAAGCAATATATAATTTATTCTTAGAGTTTTAATAATATCACATGACTACTGTGATACCAATAAACTATTCAACAGTTTTGTTTGTTTTAAATTGGATCTAAAAACTCAAAAAGTGAATATTTGCTATGTTATAGAAAATATCTAAAAACGTTCATTTGTCTAAGCAGAACTCGCAGGAAAGAATGGTCTGTGAGCAGCATCGATGCCTGGCTATCTGGGTGTGATAATGAGGGCTGCTGCAAACCTCACTAATCACTCACAGATAAACCAGGGATCGATCCTGCTCACAGCCTCCTCCCTGCAAATACGTGAACAGGTGAGGGGGCTCGGGGAAGGGGTTGAGTGTATTATAATTTTGTGTGGGGGGTTAATAAGGGTGGGGGGATATTATTCTTTGTGTGTGGGGGGGTTAATAAGGGGTGAGTGTATTATTTTATGTGGGGCAGGGGTTAATAAGGGGGGGAACCTTGTTTCTTTGGACAGCCCAGTGCTTCTGATAGTTAAAGATATGGGTAACCAGTTAAGGAATGAAATGTCTTTTATTTTCTTTATTGTGAAGTTGCTAGTCTGTGGCTGTCATGGTGCTCTGCAGTACTCATAGAACTGCCGTTGCTTTTCTGCAGCTGTCAGCTTTTAACTTTCACAAGGGATGTAAATCTAATTTAGGGGTGGGCAATTAATTTTCTTGGGGTTCTACCTGGGAAACTGGGATGGCTGTTGAGGGCCGCACTGATTAACGGACGGCACCGTGCAATGCACCCACCATGTGTTACAACACGGCAGGTGTGTTTCCATTCATTTGAATGGCACCCCAAATGCACCTCATGCCTGCAATGTATTGACCAAGCCGCAACATTGGGTACCGTATCAGTGCTGACCTGTGGGAGGGGCCCAGCAGGCCCCACCTACTAAAGGCTGACTGCAATCAACTACAGGATGGGGCGTATACTAGACCAGTCTTTCTGCTAGGTATGCACCAATAGCGTTTTTTCTGTATCGCATGTGAGTACTGATATTTATTTTGGTACTCGCTGATGTTGAGTACCAACACTGGTACTTCTGGTAGCGTGTCATTACCCACCGCCCAGCTTCTTGAGTTCCCGGGAAGCTGGCTTCATGCGGTTTGGCCGCCTTGATGCTGATTGGCCAGGATGCCAGCACCCCTTATTTTTAATAAGGGGGGAGTGTATTTTATGTATTAAAGCTATGTTATGATTGCTGTTTTATATATTTTGGACTCTTTATTCTAAAGAAAAATGTAATTTCATAAGCTTTGAGGGGGCGGGGTTGGAGGCGGACCTGGGCAAGGTTTGGTGGGACAACTGGTGGAGAGTAAGGTTTTTGCCTGGCTAGTAGGTCTAGACTTGAAATTTTAAGCCTTGCACTATGCAACATTAAATAGCATCTGAATGGTAACATATACAATGTAGAAAAAGGACTTTCTATGACACCAGAGTGATGATGATACAGTTTGCCCTTTAAATGATTCTTGTAGAAAGGCTATTTGTCTGACTGTAGATTCATGCAAGCCCTAGGTTTGGAAATCCTTCTGTAACCCTCTTTTAGTCTCATAAGCATCAACACCACTTCTTCTCTGGCCCTTTGAAATCTCGTTTCATCAGGCCACATTGCACTTTAAAGAAATGTCATTGTGAATAGCAGAAAACCGGAATTGTGAACTGGAATTGCTAACTACATTCACCTGTTTTTCAAGATGGCCTAGAGGTTAACATGCTCTTTCATGAATTACCATAATTCTTAAATATATGTCAGTTTAAAATATTGTGTGTGTTTAGGTAACAGTGCCTTTATTAGTATGACAAAGAAAACAATGAAATCCCATATTATAAGCCATTAATGAAGAATTCACTGACAGTTCTGTAAGACTTTTCCTGCAACTCTATATATTTATTGGAGTGTATATGTATACAGGTGGTAAATGTTTGTACCAATATCTATCCATCATACCTGTCTGAGTGATCTTTTGAAAAGCCATTAATATTTTCCATTTTCTTTATGAGCACAGCCAGCTCAGACTGCATATATGAAGACTTATCGGAGTCCTTTAAATTCAAAATCATTTCTTTAATTCTGCTAATTTGAGTTGATAAGCCTTGTCCCTCTCCTCTCAGGGTCTGTTAAAAAGAATCAGAGATTACTTTCTGTTAAACAAAAGCAAAGAACGTTTACTATTCTTGGAACACATCACTTCCATGAACTTACTATATAAATTAAATAAACACACCTCCAATTATATTTGTATGGTATGTTCAGGCTGAACATGTAAATACACACATAGAACATGGACATGTGAACTGTAACTGCCAACATTTTTGTGATTCCATTTAATCACTTTTATGGTTTATATTTCATTGCCACACTGTAAAGCCAGATGGATTACATCACCTTCACTATTACAAATAATATAGTGGTATATAGCTGCATAGGCAATAAAGAACAGCAGGTGTGGTTTTCAAAACTGAGGAAACCAGTTTTCTATTAGAATTGTCATTTAGATACCCTAAACCAAATTATGAAAAAGTTCCACAAAGCCATAGCCAAAGCCAAAAACTGCAAACAACAATCAAGCTTTTACTTGAAAATGCTTCCAAAGACTTAAGTATGGCTTTTTTAATCATAGGATGAGATTCTCTGCAATGAAATGTCATAGCACAAGGTCCTTATCCTAGCAACTAGCCATATCTGAACCCCCATTATGGTCAGTTTTGAAAGAGCAGTCACATGTTTACTTTCATAAACCAATGTGTACAGGCAAAATTAAATGAGTTGTCCAATTTATTACACCAACCCTGTTTCCTGTAGGAGAAGACTAAATGCACGCCTCTCAGTTCCCACACCACTGAAGAGGAATTGCCCATTAAAGTGTTATCAAAAACCAACACATCTGACAGTCTTGATCTTTTTGTCTCCCACTGTGAGAGTGGTTGCACCCACTGACCCTCAGGTAATTACGGTTTCCTATAGCAGGAACCAGAAGATCATCACTCCCAGAAATGTCGATTTCTCAGCAGGCTCCCGCCTATCTGTCTGAAACTGGCAAGACATGAGGGCAGCCCTTTATGTGTCTGAAACTAGCTAGACCAATGAATTATTAACTTATTTCTAGGGATGAACCGATATATCGGCCGCCGAAACATATCGTCCGAAAACTGCACTTTTGGCATAATGCTGAAAGTGTCATTTTCTGGCCGATACAGCGGTGCATCCCTGCTTACTCTCCTCCCTGCTGGGCTCTGCTCTGTGTCATAGCGGGGAGGAGAGAAACTGTCCCCGGCCTGCGAGCGCTGCAGGAGCAGAGCGCTGTTCGCGGCCGGCGTCTCTCCTCCCACGCGGCTCAGCCTCCTGTCACAGATCGGCAGAGTGGTGTGTGGGCTGAGACAGCCAGTGCTGTCACAGGAGGCTGAGCTCCGCTCACTCAGCCTCCTGTGACAGCTGTCAGGAAGGAGAGCGAGTACAAACAAACAGTCAGTGATCGCTGAGTGTTTGTAAATAATTGAGGACAGAGTATGTTTACTATATCCTCAATTATGAATGAATGGGAAGTGATCTACATAACCTCCTGTTCATTCAAAATCGTGGTTATAGTAAACATACTCTGTTCTCATGTTATGAATGAACAGGAACACTCAGAGGATTCCTGTTCATTGATAACAGGGGCTGCAGGAAAAGAGATAGAGGACTTTGCGTCCACAATCTCTTTTTCTATTTTAAATGTGAAATATCAGGGGTCTGTGTAGACCCCTAATATTTCCCCGAAGTCCCTAAAAGTAAAAAATATTTAATAAAAAATGAATAAATAAAATAAATATTAAAAAAATTTAAAAGTTTGCAAAAAAAAATGAAAAAAGTTAAAATAAAAAACATTTTCGGTTTTGGCCTGACTTTGTATTTCTGTTTTGAAATTTTCATTTCGGTGCACCTCTACTTATTTCTATAAAGATCCTTTGAACCTATATGGCAACACCATCATTAAAACAGTTCCAAGCAAATGACTTTTGGAAATACAAAATAACAAAAAAATTAAAACAAAAAAACAACAACAATGTAAGGTTGGTATAGAGGTACCTCCAGACCATCTATTCTGCTGGACAACTCCCTGAGCGTATCCTGGTCAACGTTATAGATATTTCTCTGTAGTATTCGAGTCTCATAGATCTCCATTTGCTGGCGGATCCTTTGAAGTTCCAGTAACAACTGATTTTCCTGCTTCAGCCTCTCCTGGTCTATTCCAATACTACTACTGCTGCTGCTGCTGCTTTTCACATTTGAACTTTGGGTCTGGGTGACATATTCTACTCTTTCACCTTAGAATTAAAAAAAAACCAATATTTTAATATGAAAATACAAATTTGTTACAAATATTTGTGGGCTGCCCAACACGAGCATATAACTGTAAAAAGCTAAAGAAAAAAACAATTATGTAGATATTCAGCAGATTTCTGAACGTTGAAATGTATTTCCAATCTTTTAATTTTTTTTTTTGATTACTAAATTCACTAGTTACCCAGTTTAAAGACGTGCATGTTGTCAGTTTGAAATACATTGCCAAATTGCTGATAAAATAGGTACTGTATATTTCTTGAGAGCGGATATGCATACTGATATAACAAACAAATAAATAGAGACTGTCCACCACCCCTTTAAACATGCTTGGATACAGCTATGAACAGAAAGTGATAAGAGTAGATTCTTAAAGGGATCTAAATACACATAACTGGATGTGTGTCTATACATGATCAGCATATTAGTGCATATTGCGTTGCATTTACCCCCACAGTCATGCAGACTGTAATGCACAGCTGACACGCTTCAATACACAGCACATATCAGTTGTGTTCAGAATTGTGAATGCCTTAACAGATCTTGTTTACATTACAGGACCCATTTCAGGCTTTGCGCATATAATGACATGCGCCTACAGCTGTGAGGGACACTAAGCATTAATGTGCATCTGTAGAGATTCACACATGTACAAAAGTCCTTAAGCAGATTACAGTACATGTAAAGTACATATTATCCATAACTACATACTAGTGGAAGGTGGTGGTGGTTTTTTCGTTATAACTGTAGTAGTTTCTCGGGTCTGGTACGAAGGGAGCTGAACCACCAATTTCTGATAATGATTCTGTGCTTCGGAGAAATGACTTTGCATTTTCCTCTTCTCGTCATCGCCAAACATGTTTGAACCCTGGCTGTTCCTCATGAAGTCTTGGTAATGCAACTCCAGATCTGAAACCACTTTCTGGTAGTCTTCTTGGCGCATAGTCTTCAGCTGTAACATGAAATCATGCATTTAATTACCATGAAATGTAAAGCTCATCACCTAGGGGCTATTAAAATCCAAGCTCCCATCATATATATATGTGCATACACTAGAATCCAGTATATTAAAAAAAAAAAAAAAAAAAAGGACAAAAGGAAATACCTTAGCAAGTGTCATGGCTCTAATTTTCTCAATGTCAATCATACAGTAATGCCAGGACACCAAACTCTTCATGTTGATATAAAGCTGGCTCCAAAGAGCTAGAATTGCTTCATAGAACTGCTCAATTCTAGAAAAAAAATGGAGTTTAGAAAATACAGATATTAAATTGAATATGTAATAAATGGCGTCTGGTTTAGAAAATGTTACTTCCCTGTTTTATTGAGAATAGTACACATCGATTTGATCATGTTACATTTTAGCATGTGCTGAAAAGTACTTAGTAGGACTGTATTTTTACCTCCTGACTTCTAAGAGCCTCCTCCTACCCCACATGCATTGCCAAACGAGGAGGCAGAGAGGTTAAAAGAGAGTTTTTGAACTTTAGGCCAATACACCCATCACCAACCAAAGGACTAGGACAAACTGTCACCCTACTCTGCATGCACATCGGTTCTCAGTGTACGGAGCCAGAGTTGGGGAACTGTAAGCATGCATTCTACCACGAAAAGCCAGCTCCACATACTCAGAAAATGAAGAATGCTGCCCTGGTTGTGAGGAAGCAACATTACTATTTCTCTGACAGTTGGGGATACTTGTTCAATTGACAACTGTCTAAATTTCCTTCTGCGTTTGAGAGATTCCCTTCTACACAAACAGCATGAAAGAAACTCAGAAGGTTCTTAAAATAGAATTTTGGTTCCTTTAAAAAACATGTGCCATACCAATTATAAGTGCACCTGCAGTTTTCTCTTTGTCCCCATGCAAAGTCCCACAACTACGTATTGATACTGCCAGTGAAGTCCAACTATTGAAGCGTCCTGTAATAGTGTGGCAGCAATGCTGCACTGCTCCTAAATTCAGAGCAGAGTTACCACTCTCATGTGGTGCATGCACAACCATCTTATTGATGCCTGCCGATGGCATATCACACAGTTTACCTTTTTTTGTTGGAACTTTATTTAAAAGTCACAAGTGACATTTCATTAGGTCCAAGAGCACAATGTGGCACGTGGTGGTTGTACTGCAAAGGTACCCTGCTGCACTGATCACAAGTACTGCATGTTGTACTTTCTTCAGCGCACAAGACCACAACGCAGTCTGAACTGAGCCAATCTGAAACAAGGCAAATTGCCTTGGAAAGGAACGTCCAGCACAGCCCCAACGCATTTGGTGTAAATGCAGCCTAAACATACTTCTTTCTCAGGTTATTGCTGATCTAGTATTTTAGCCCCCCGACAGGGTTGCTTTACAGGAGTAACAGCGATAAACACAAACAAATTCACTGAAAACGTACTTGGAAGACAAATCCACAGCTTCAGGGTTTGGTGGTGGTACAATCAAACTGACAGAAGGAACTACCATATCCAACCCACCAGGACCTGTCACATTCCACTTGCTGCGTTGAGAGTTGTTCTTCAGAATGCATTCATCTCCCTTGTGTATTACTTTCTGTGTGGAAGTTGTAAGGTTCTGGTTATTTTTTTTGTTTAGGAATGCACTAACACCTACTATATAACGATGTATAAAATGCTATATAAAAATTCAACACAAAAAGATATTCTTTCTAAATAAAACTTAGCTTTATATATCATCATCATGAATTCTGCTGTAAAGGTTTGAAATGCCACAAGTGATTAACCTAATAAAATAAAGTCCTCTCCTTATACAGATTTATTATTTCAAGCAAATGAAGAAAAATGCTTAATACAGCACAAAGCAAACCTTCTTTTCATGGTAAATCCAAAAATCTAAAAATTTAAGTAAATGTGTAAGACATTTTTCTTTATTATGTTTTTGGTGTTCTGAAATTTTGCTAATTCAGTCTGGCCTTAAAAGAATGCCAAACTGATAAGACAGTCCAGTTTCAGCAATGTAATCTCAGCAACTCCTCTCCTTAGCAGTGGTTGCAAAAGTGTCTGAACTCTACCAGACAGCTCCTTAAAACAGCTTAAACTGACCATGCACTGAGCTAATTTAATCCAGTTCTAGATGATCCACATGAAATTCACTCCATGTATGATCCTATTGGCAACCTCCTGCCCAATATCCTTCGATCAGAAAATCAAAGGGGCCAGGTGGAAAATTCTTAGCTCAACAGTTGCGGTCACTCTTTGGGTATTCTACCAGGGCCACATCCACGGCTCTCAGGAAACAATAGCTACAGCAGGAGGTTCACCTTTAGTGTGGATTGAGGTATCTATTACACCATTTAGCCTGATGGCTGAATGACAAATATCTAACAGTGTATGGTCAGGTTTACACAAGGAAAGACAAGAAAGCATATAGTTATATTGGCTAGAAAAACATAAACATTATAGTGTGTGTGTGTATTATATATATATAGATCTATATATATAAACATTTTCTTTTTATTACTTTTTTTCTTTCACCACAGAACAAAGTCTAAGTGTAAGTATACAGGCATCTATGCCTTATCTACCCCACGTTATCTTCCTCTGTCTTGGCAGGGACATCTAGTCAGTATAAGTTAATTACAAAGGTTCATTCATAGAAATCATTTAGGCTCTGACTGATCTCTCTCCCAACAAGCTCCAAAACAGAAGCAAAGAGATAAGGGATCCTGAACAATAAATCCTGTGTTTGTTCGTAATCCCTCTATCCAGCCCATGCACTTTACCAGTGAGATTTAAATTATAAACTATGCAAGGTTTACACTTACCTGTACAAGTGAAGCAATAAGAGCAAAGTCAATTAACCCATATAATCCAATCAGAATGCAACAAAGATTCGGACAGGCTGCAATGGGCTTAGCTGTTTGATTCTTGGACTTTTATTTAATATGTCCCTTGATGTAAAACAAAATTTATTTTTTTCACCTATTTACCACCTTTAAATCACCCCTACGGATGAATCTATTTAGGCTAACCTCGAACCACACGGTGACGGCTACTTACGGACCCAATAGACTTCCTTTTACTTTCTGGGATTCAGTCACTACTCCTATCTGTACTACTATACGCTATCTTTGAGATATGTAAAATACAACTCTATTCGATTTATTTGCATCTGTTATAACCAACTTTATCACAGAGTATTTGCTTGATCTTCCTGTAACAGTGCTATTGCTTTCGATCACCTATGTAACTCAACAATCTTTGTTTACTGTGCCAGTGATATTTTTCTGTAAATTCTTGTTAAATAAAGATATTTTAAAAATGTGCCGTATACCTCCCCTCTTGTGGTTACAAATGCACCATATACATGGAAAGCAGACAAAACCACAAAAACAAAGATCAAATTATGCAAGCTTCATCAGGTTCACGTTAACCTGTGCCAAAAACAGTGCTTAGAATAGGTAAAAAGCTATATTACCTGGTCCTGCTTGTAGTCACAAAGTGCCTTTAAAACAATTGGCTTGTCTCTCTTGTAGTCTGGATTGCGTGGTTTTAGCTGTATTATTTTCTTTGATTTATTGATGAGGTTTTGAACTTGCCTTTTATACTCATTAATTTTATCCCGTTCTTTCTAAAGTATAAATAAAGAGGGGAAAAAAAAAAATCAAGATTTAAAGTCTGATTAAATCCCATCCAACGTGCAAGAATAGCAACACCAATTACACAACGGAGAGCTCAATGCTAGGCATGGTATATACTTCTTCCCCTACTACACAATTTCGGATATACTTTTTCATATTCCTTTGATTAACTGGCAACAGAGGGTCATACACAGGTTTTTACTATTTGTTCTTTCACCCGCAAGAGATAGAACATAATCCTAATCCCTTAATTTGGCTTTTCTTTCACTTTTACTGTAACTCCTGCTAATCAAAATATATTGTTAAAAAGCCAAAGAAATTGTTTAACATGTTATTTCTCATAGGGTTTTTCTTTTCCTGGTATATTCAGGGTAAGAAACAATCATAAAAATTAAGAAAAATACACTTTTCTTGGTTTGCAATTTATGGTAATCTTCAAATACCTCAAGATCTTTAATCATTTCCAAGACACGCTGCAATGGCATACTTTTGTCACATGGGTACTTCTTTCTGATTGTATCCTGAAGATTTGTCAAGTAGCTTTCTGTGCTCTGTGCCTCATCAAAAAACTGTATAGAAATAATTAATAATAGAAATAATTTAGGAGTAAGAACAGACATGTCATTTCATCTAGTAATATATCAACATAATTTAAAAACAAGCCACAGTGCTATTTGCCATGCAAACCAGACATTGCTCACACTACCACTTTCATTTTTTGGTTTCATGTTGTTGGCCAACCGTTCACTTCATCAGGTAGGCTGGGCTATCCTCTGGTAGTTGCCTTTTGTCAGTCTCTATATATTTTATAAGATTCCTGCCATCTGTAAATCTGGAAATATTTGAATTCCTAAAATAGAAATATATACCACAGAAGCAATATACATTTCATTCCTATTTTAGGAATATATACACCTTTTACCAGTGATGGCAAAAGACTGTACCTAGGTGGTCCATGATCCTACTGGTCATTGGATTATTTAGTTACACCTAAGCCTCACTGTTCTCCATATCTTTTCTTGAATTGTGCTTAGCTAAAGCGTAAAACAGAATCCTTTAGTTACTATTCAACATGGCTCTTAGATCTTCAGATAGTTACCATTATTTGGAGGTATTGGGAGACTTGTTTGCCCAAATTGAATTATGTTAATGTTCTCTTCCTATTAAAAGAGAAGACTAGTGCTGGCTAACATTACTTCCTAAGGAATGCATTACCTCAGACTCTGAGAGAGCTCAGGTCATCTGAGAAGCTGTTTAATTATGTCAAAATGTGACTACTCTGGAGTGTTTTATTAGTGAATATGCACAATATTATTAAATTGTAGGGATGCCTGCTCTTTACATCATAGATCACAGACTAAGCAGTCATAAGACACATTTTACAACCAGATGGCCTGCATCTAACTTGGCTTGAGCTTGCTTAACAGCTTCCTGTCACAGCACTAAAGTGCTTGGAGAAATATACTTTGTGGTGTCTGTAATAATAGTGGCACTGCATATTTCTGTAAAAATGATCTACCAGGTGGTACTGTTCTGTGTATCCATTCTTTTTCCGGATGCACACGCCTCCCTTAGCATCCCACGCCCCTGCACTCATACACGCCATTATAATTCTCTGGATCAACACATCTGCACTAATATTACCCTTTAACGTCAACCAGTACCTCGATACCAACCCAGGTGCAAGCTCCTGAGCTGGTATACTCACACATGAGGCTAATGCCAGCTGCCAACAGACCAATGTTTTCTTTTTAACATATCTGTTATGCACTTATTTATTTTGTATTTGGTGCTACAATGTGATTATAGTAAAGACACTATAATAAGACACCCATAACTGAATTCTGGCACTGATTTCAATGGTAGGGTTTTAGCCCCTTCTCTTCCCTTCATGAGGTGCTGTTCACCCCGCAAGGCTGTTGTAGTGAGGGAAAGAGAACACCACTCTAAGAATAAGTATAATCTACTGGCTTTATTTAACACAACCTTGGCATGATCAAGTTTATATTAAACCTGGAAATAAGTTTATACATCATGGCAGCTTTTTGTCTTATGTTTTGTTTAGTTCAAAGCAGAAAAAAGGCAAATCAACTAAACATAAGTCAGATTGGTAAAGTCAACTAAAAATACAAGAGTAGTGACATCATAATATTATAAAAACAGAACACATCTAATGAGGAAAATGACTCTGTAATGGAAAAGTGTAAAGCCTGTAAACAATAACTTACTTGGAAGTATGCCGAATTTTCTTTCAAATGGACATCTATACATTTGGTAATTTGAAGAATCCAGCTCCACTGGGTCTGCAATGTATCCATGTAAGCCTGGAATAGAAAAGCCTTTGTCAAAGACTGTTTTGCAGTAATCAGCATTGAGAAGAAAGGAGGGGACAAAGCAAACCAGACCTCCAGGGATGGACCACTGAAGGGAACCGGGTGGGAAGTGGGAATTTGTCATTCATCACTGGAGGAGCTTGTGTCCAACACAGCAAATCACAGACTGTAGTAAAATGGTGACACAAGCCTACAATTGCAGATATTTTAATTTATTCAAATGTGTTCATTCAAATAAATCATGCTTATGTATACAGCAATTTTATAAAATGTATCATGTATTATTTTTCTCTCTCTCGATTAAATTGGGATCCAGATCTTATTCTGTAAGGCGGGGGTTGGCAACTGGTCGATCGCAATCTACCTGTCCTTCACAGTCATCTGACGGGTCGATTGCGATCCCGTCATGTCAGCTACCAGCTTCTGACCCTGCACTTCACCTCTCAGACAGCACACCCTCCCTCTGGCTGCTCAATCCCACTGGGCAGCTCTTTCTGCACACAAAACCCCACCAGTGCCACCTCCTGCAGTACCTATAGCATCTGCTAGATGGTAGTGACTTAAGTACAGTGATCTAGTTCAGCTGGTGGGAATGTGGAAGCACAGCAAGGACACAGTAGGGAAAGTGAACTCTGTTCAAGGATTGTTTTCAGTCAGTGAGACAATCTGCAACTTACGTCTGGTAAGTGAATGAAGGAAGGGGGAACTTGTGCTGTGGAACTCTGCATTACTTACTCCTGACCCCTGAAACGCTGCATTACTTACTCCTGACCTCTGGAACTCTGCATTACTTACTCCTGACCCCTGGAACTCTGCATTACTTACTCCTGACCCCTTCACTCTCCCTGACTTACTCCTGCATTGCTCATGACCCCTGCACTCTGTGTCACTCCTGGTCTTTGCACTCTGCATTGCTTACTACTGGCTCAGGTACTCTGCATTACTTACTCCTAACCCCTGCATTATGCATTATATACTACTGACCTCTGAATTCTGCATTACTTACTCATGACCCTTGCACTCTGCATACTACTCATCTCTGAACTCAAACCAGCCAACCAGGTCAGACTTCAGCCCAGACAGCCAGGCAAGATTTCAAACCAGCCATCCAGGCCAGAACTTGGCCTCAATTTTTTTCCCCAAACCTTTCTAAATGTTTATTGGGGCCTTCCTAGTGTATCTCCTTAACTGTGCTGCACCCTGGTGATCTTTGACCTCTCCCATGTTCATGTAGATCTCCACCTCTTCAGGGTTGCTCAGGGTAGATAGCAATAGTAATAAGACAATCAAAGATTCATTATTCTTTTTATTAGAAACTGAGCATTGTCCCAGGAATAATATATAGATAGACGTACAAAGTGTAAAAACATTTAGAAATTACCTCAATCTTGTCAGCTGCTGGGTGCTGGTTGAGAATCAGCTGGTCACTGTCTAGTTTCACCTTATTCAGATCCTTTTCTTTTACTTCCAACTGGCTCATTAGTTTCTGGAAAGCGACAAGTAAAAATTAATTTCATATATGGCATGACTAAGATGACTTAGATACTTTTGCATTTTTGTTTGGAAGATTATTTTTTATTATTCTTTCTAACACTAAGACACAATTATGGTATCTATCATTATAACGTGACACACATTTATTTTTTTGAAAAAGGTTACCAATGGTTCCCATACATTGTTATATGCAGGTAACTTACAGAAAAGGCTTCCTGTTTTTTGGGGATGTCTTTATTCTTGTCACTCCAATCATAGACCAGCTCTTCTTCCTCTCGGTCATTGATCCACATGATCTCTTTAGATGTGGCCTGAATGATGTTCTGCAGCTGACGCAACTGATCCATTTTTTCAAAGGAAGCTTTCTATATGTATGAAATAAATGCATTACACTAGGGAAATAATGTCACCATCAGTGATAATGGTGGTCAGATCAAATGTAACATTAAATTTTTGAGCAAAAAAAACATTAAATCATAAACCATAACAAAGAACAGATTCAGAGCAATGCTATTACAGGTCTTACCAGCAATCCATCATACTCCTCTTCTAACTGGTAAATTGCCCCCTTTTCTCTCTGTTGCGGGAAAGGCAAAGTGGCAAAAATTAGTTTGTTGGTAGTTGAGCATAAACATCAACATTAAATATCATGGACTGCATGTTAAATAAACTGGATGTACATATTCTTAAATCAAAACTTAAATATATTATATATACTGTATATATACACACAAATACATACATACACACACAGCTGTATCACAGACTGTGCATGAGAATCATCACACTGTTGAGGCCTTTGTAGGCTACCTAAAAACCAGTGTATAACAGTATCCTTAGTCAATGCCACCACAGGCACAATGGACAAATATGCCATGAATGTGTAATTAAGTTCCCCACAGTTCTATGGCCTAAATGGGTTCTTGCCGAACACCTTGTTCTCTATTTTGTATGCTAGGTAGTAAGTTAAAGCCTAGCTTCATGATTATTACAACAGCCCAAGCCTTCTACCCCTACCATCCTTACACACCTCCCTACTCATTGTTTATTGCCCCAATACCTGAAAAACTTGCTCAAAGTAGCAGTCATGTGACCACTGCTTCTTTTTTCTCCCCTGCTTTAGCACAGGAAGTGGTATTATCACAGAGCGTTGATGAATTCAAAAGACTTTTACATCTAGGAATTTTCCGATCACAAATATGGGGTCAGGAAGGAATGCATACAAAAGGTTGAATTAGATGGACATATGTCCTTTTTTTCAACCTTATCAATTACACAACTATATATGCAACATCTATCTGGGTGGTCTTGAACCATGCCTCTAGATCCTTATGTATAGACATTCAATGCTGTCTAGAGAACTACATTTTCATTGCATTTAATGTTTCAAAATTGATGCAGTGGGCTGCAGAAGAGACGTTAGTGGTCATGTCCAGGGGCAAATGGGAAGTGTGATGATGCACTGTCTGTAGTCATTAGGAGCATGTATATAATGGCCACAGCCAAGAGGATGAATAATGCTGCTTGTCATCCAGCCATGAAGTGGGAAGGCAGAAGTGAATGATTGAGGAAGAATGGACCTGTGCAGCTTTGGGGGCAAGATAAGTATGATAATAGGGCACACATTTCAGAGGCTATTGGGGCATGAAATTAACAAAAAATGGATAGAGCTCTAGAAGTAAAGCACACACTAACATCATTAAATTATAAACCATAAACTTTAAAAAATAGAATAAAAAACATTTTATTGTAGCACTAGACACACATTTTGCTATCCTGCATAGTAAATTCAGCCATTATGATCATACAAAAAGATACAGCAGCAAACATTCATTTTTTATTGACTTTTGAGATATTTAATTTCAGCATTTTATAGGATATTCTCATATAATTTCTAATAAACCAAACATGCTGATTATAGTTTTACACTTTAGTTACTGCACATGTATAGAATATAAATGGGCGATTACCAGATCGGCTTTAATTTTGTCGAGTTCCCAGCGGTAGTCAGCGATTGCATTGTGGAACTTTCTGTGGTTAGTGATTTGCAGTTCCACAGAAGTGGCATCGAATCCCCAATCAACACTCTCCATTTGACGCTACAAATACAAACAGGAGTTCAAATGGATTTTATTCACAGTGTTTACAGACGATTGCCAATGCGCACTACAAACTTTTGTAATCATGTCACTATGTATCATGTATATGCATAGCCCCAAGTTTAACCCTGTGCTCCTCCATATCTCCAAATGTACCCCTGTGCTCCTGTGTATGTCCATGTGTACCCCATGCTCTTCTGTAGCTCCAAGGGTACCCCCTGTTCCTTCAGCATGTCTCTATGTGCTTGTGTACTCTAGGTGGAGATGTTGTTTCAATGGCAGTCACATGACCAGCCAAAAAGGGTGCTATTTTGACCGGCACAAACAAAACTGTTACAAAATGGAGGGATGGAGATTTTATATATATATATATATATATATATGTATATATATATATATATATATATATATATATATATATATACACACACACACACACAGACACACACACACACACACACACATACATACATAGATACACACAGAGTAAAATAAAATCCATATACCAATAATACAATATATTTATATATATATATATATATACATACATACATACATGCATGCATACATACATACACACACATACACACACAGTGTGTCAGTGGGAATCTGGTCTTAATGTAGATATGTAGATCATGACCTACAAGATTACCATGAGATGGTTGCTAATCTGTCTAAAATCTCTACAAAATACCCAACTAGTAAAGGCGAATTACAAAACCATGTACAGGTGGTACTTTGTGCCCGCAAGATTTGCTAAATTTACTCCCCAGGCCTTTCCAAGATGTTTCAGGGGGTGTTTGTCAGAAGGGAATGTGGTCCATATATGGTGGACATGCAAAAAAATTCAAGGATTTTGGATAAGGGTGTACTCACTGATCTACTTTCTTACACAGGTCAACCTATTGTAAGATAAAAGTGCCTACTTGTTTAACTATTTACTTTGTCATTTCTCGAGATTGCAGGGCAAGTCTCCCCAGAAATGCATCCTGAATCTGTCCTCGACTTAAGAATGTTCACTATTCATACAGAATTGTAAACATAGCAGATACGATTCACAAGGAAATCATCAATGCGAATTTCCCATCGAAAACCTTTTTATCATTATAAAATACACTCCGTACATTATATATGAATATGTCATACATCATATCTTGACTAAATTTAATAAAACCCATTGAAAAAGAAAAAAAAATATTTGGCTGGAGTTGGGTTTTACATCTTTTGAGGTTCTTAAATTACTAGAACACATAGGGGCAAAACATTTATTTAAAATAACTTAAAAAAGGTATTGATTATGTATAATTATATTTCATTTTTCCAGCAGTAAAATAGTAAAGAGCAGTGATAATAGATTATTCTAAGTGTAGAAACACTACTTCTGTGCATGGCATAATACAAGGGGCATACATGCTTTGCAGACAGCACCGGTAACCTGAACACATTAGTTCTGAGGATATAGCATACATGGAAGTAGCAAATACATGTTTAGTAAAAGGAAAGGGTTTTTTTCCCCCAGTATATTATAAAGACCTGTGAGTTTTGGAAAATAAATACTTTATTTATAAAGTGTGTAGTAAGTAATTCTAGAAGCACTGGAAATAAAAGGATGGGTGGGGATGTGATTAATGTATAATTCAGAGCAGTAATTGCTGCACTGAAGCAACATGCTGTAAAGCGGCACACCCATACCTGCAGGGATTGTGGTGTCTTTCCAACAAGGGAAACCATTCAGCACATACATAGTCACATAGGACTTAGAGATTTCATAATGAATGCAGACAAACTAGACTGAAGTCGTATGTTCTGGCTCACTGCCAAGTTTCTTAAAACTAGTGGTCATTATTGCAATACTACAACTCTGGAAATTTGCTATCCCAAAGTAGTAAGCAATTATACAACCTGAGTGTGAACTTGAACCGTGAACAGTAGACACAAACACTGATTGTCTGTATGAAAATACAACACCCTTAAAGTGGTTTACTGGTCCTCCATGATCTAAAGGGCACCTGTTCTATCTACAGTATTTTTAAAACGTATAGGCATAAAGGCTATTTCTAGTTGGTGATCGTTTTTGTACCTACCCTTTGCTGTCGGATTTGGTTCAATGTTTCAGTAGTTGTACGCTTTGTGTATTCATCCCATCCCGAGCCACTCTGAGAGGAAAATCCACCACCACCACCACCACCCTTCGACCCCTTGCGCATGCGTGGAGCCTGCATCGCTTTATCAATGGCACGCATTTGATCGTAAAGCTGAAGCAACCTAAAAAAACACATTATGTTACTGTGTGTTTGTGAAATGTTCACTCTAGATTTGGTGCAGAAACTTTAACTTTATTGTTACCTTCTATGATAGTTTTCACAAGGTTGTCCCATTAGGCGCATTTCCTTGATCAATCCCTCCACCATCTCCATTTGCTCTTGGGCACCCCCGAGACTATCATCCAGATCCCTATTACGAATCAATGTACCGCCATCTGAATATTGCATTTCCTGCAAAATAAAGGGGGGAAAAAATCATAACATCAAATATATTTACAACTAAACTCCTGGCAGATACATATTTTATAGATAGATATATTGTATAGA